ATAGAAATTTTTTTATAGAAGAAAATAGCCATCACAAGTAAATACGGCTGAATCAAGAGAGAATGGGAGATAAGAGAGGGAAGGAAGGAAATTTAACACAGATTTGGCAGTTAGGGATACTTGTCCTTCAAATTTCTAAGCCTTGACAGTTGTTTTAAATAAGCCTTACTTTAACCAACAATAGACTAAGTGGTTACAACACAGTTAGGGCATCAGCATGAGCTCTTAAGAGGGATTCTTGAGAAACCCTAATATTATGTAAATGAGTACTTGAGATAAGGATAAAATTTTGAGTGACGGTATGAACTGAACAATTGCTGTATTTCAAACAATTTAGTCAGAAATGAAGATGATATATTTGGAAAGCTGAGATAAATGATTAAACAGTGATTCCAGTGACAATGCAGACTAGACACTGACATTAAATATGCATTGAGAGAATCTGAATAATATTATGATTAAACACGACATAGGCAAAAAATTAACATTTCACCAGGTTTTAAAATTGAATGTTTAACTAAACCTGCATGGTAACTATTATGAATATACATTCGACCATTTCATGTGTAGCCCCAAAAGTTTATATGTCAAGATGGACTGATAGTTCAGACTGCCCTTTATTTGGATAAATAGAAACTTTACTTTTCACAGAGGAAAACAGCCACAACGCACACCTGTGAGCACTCAGTCCCCTGTCCTTCCAGTCTGCTCTACGTACTGAATGCACTTCTGCTTGGAGTTGAGCCTCTATGGGGACACAGACAGCAGGGAGACTGGCCAGTGCAGGAAGCACCTCTGCAGAAATGTCACCTCTCTCCACGTGCAGGCTTCATTCTCACATGCCCAGAACACCTGCTCTATGGGAGACTGTGCAGGGCCTGGTACCCTGGAGAACCCTGCAGCGTCCCATAAACATAGAAAATGGAGCCTTCTCTGGCGGAGGGACCCATACGCATTTGCAACAGGAAAAAGGGAGGAAAAGCCTGAGGGAGATGGGGGACGAAATCACCTCTATCTGTCACGCAAGAGAGCGCATGAAGGTCTGCTTTGCACATCCCAAGGGGAAAGTCGCCAGTCTCTGAACACACGGGCTTTTTAAAAATCATCCCTGGGCCAAGTGGTGGCACCTGTAATCCTAGCACTCTGGGAGGCCGAGGCAGGTATATCAGCTGAGCTCAGGAGTTCAAGACCAGCCTGAGCAAGACTGAGACCCAATCTCCACTAAAAATAAAAACACTCAGCCAGCATGGTTGTACCTGCCTGTGGTCCCAGCTGAGGCTGAGGCAGGAAGATCACTTGAGCCCAAGAGTTTGAGGCTGCTGTGAGCTATGACACCATGGTACTCTAGCACTCAGAATAAAATAAGAAACATCCCTGTACAGTAACCTTTCCATTTGGCTAAAAGTTAATTCAAGGCAGGAAATAAAGAAACAATAATATTTTTTACACTCCCTGATGAAGCATTGTAACTGGTGATCGGCTGACTGTATAATGTTATAAAAAATAAAGCTGATTAGTGAATTAGCAGTAAGGGCAATCCTACTAACACATAATTCCCCCCTGCCACGCTATCTATTTATAACGGTCAGTGTGATCTCTGGAGATCAGCACTTTCTCATCACAGACGCGGTAACACAGAACCACAGGGAAGACTGAGACGGTGGATTCCCACCAAGTCTGCCTCGATCTCCCCTGACAAACACACTATGTGAGAGAAACAGAAAGCTGTGTTTCCCTGAGGGAATTAAAAACAAATCACAAATGTTGAAGAACTCGTCCTTGACATGAGAAACTTAGGAGGAAAGCACCACTACAAAGGGAAACCCAAACCCACGACCGTAGCAAGGGAACTGCGGCCGCACGCCCCATGCCAGGCTGCACAGAACAGAAAAGGTGAGCTTGTGCTCACAGTGTAGGACGGATCTCACAAACAGTGATTTAATTACAAAAGGCCCATTCAATTTTATTTTCATTTATTTATTTGTTAAGTTACACGAGTTAGAGACAGCACTAGGCATAGAGAGAAGGGAAGACGTGGCCTGTGGTCCCACCTCTTACCATGTTTTCAGGGCAATAGCCGTACTGCTGGGTCTCCTGGGAATACACGGTCCTCAAGGCTCTTGCTTCTTCCGACTCAGGTGGTTCACTGTCACGTAACCACTGTGCTGCAAAGTGAAATTCCGTCATGGAGGGCACGGAAGGGGGCTCTCGAACGTGTGCCGGGGGATACAACTCCATGGACTGAAACTGGCCCTGATACAGCTCATATTCCTCATCCACCAGCATTTCTCTTTCTTCATCCATCTCCTGCAGACCGGGAGGCAGAAATTCATGCATCTCCCAGGCCTCCTTGCTGTTGTCTATCTCTTTTTGTTGGGACTGGAAAGCCTTTCCCAAATCTAGAAATGGTTCGTCCACAAGTTCTTCTTTAAAATGTGGTTCGTCTCTAAATCCCTGTAAAAGAAAGTTGCAAAAAATGTCAGAGGCATGAACTGGAAAGTCAAAATGCTGACATCAAGGCAACGTACCACCTTACCGGCCAAAGCACTGCTAACGTGCACGGCTTTCCATCACGAACAAGGAGAAATACAAGTTCATTTCTACACGATCCTCAACCCAGAAAAGAGACAAGCAGGAAATCAGGAGGCAGAAATCTGCCTGCAGCAAGGTGAGTGATTTTTCCAAAAGGTTCGTTATACATTAACCACCTGGAAATTCTCCATCAGAAATAGGAATTTTATTAAACTGCTACACTGGATATTTCATGCACTTAGGCTACGGCCATCTCACCCTGAGTGTGCCTGATCTCATCTTAGTCCAC